ATATATATACACCACATCTCCCTTATCTATTCATCCATCAATTGACATTTGGGCTCTTTCCATACTTTGGCTATTGTTGATAGTGCTGCTATAAACATTGGGGTGCATGTGTCCCTTCAAAACAGCACACCTGTATCCCTTGGATCAATACCTAGTAGTGCAATTGCTGGGTTGTAGGGTAGTTCTATTTTTAGTTTTTTGAGGAACCTCCGTACTGTTTTCCAGAATGGCTGCACCAGCTTGCATTTCCACCAACAATGCAAAAGAGATCCTCTTTCTCCACATCCTTGCCAACATCTGTTGTTGCCTGAGTTGTTAATGCACAGTAATAGTTCTAAAATGCATTTTAGGGGTACCTGAGTGGCTCAGTCAGTTAGGTGTCTAACTCTTGATTTAGGCTTAGGTCACACTCTCAAGGTCCTAAGATCAAGCCACACATCAGGTTCCATTATGGGCGTGGAACCTGCTTAAGATTCTCTCTCTCCCTAAAAAAAGTGGGGGGTGGGGGGGCACCTGATGGCTCAGTCGGTTAAGCGTCTGACTCTTGGTTTCAGCTGAGGTTATGATCTCATAGTGTGTGAGTTGGAGCCCCACATTGGGCTCTGTGCTGACAGTGTGGAGCCTGCTTGGGATTCTCTCTCTCTCTCAAAATAAATACTTAAAAAAAAAAGACTCCCTCTCACTGTCCCTCTCCCCCACTCAAGCTCTCTAAATAAATAAATAAATGAACAAATAAATAAATAGGCTGTCCTCATAAAAAAAATAAATAAGAAAATATTTTAAAGAAGGCAAATATAATTACCTTAGGTCTCAGGTTGAAACACATTAGGAACTCCCTATCACCTATGGGCAACAAAGGCTCAAATTTCCTTTGCCATATATCTAAAACACTCCACAGTGTAGTCTAGTTATCTTCACTAGTCCCTCCCCGCTCCCACACACTGTATACTCTCTACTCCAACCAAATTGGAACCATCTTGCAACTCCAAGTATGCTCTGCCCTTGCATGTCTGTCCCTACATGCCTTTCCTTCTGTTGTGATTTCCTTCCTCATCACTTCTCCCCTCCACAAAGATTTCTGCCTGTCGTATTCTGACTTACCCTTTAAGATGGCACTCAAAGGTTTATCCTTTATGAAGGCTACCTTGATATTCTTTCCCTGCCACTGCCACAGTGCCGGTTATTCTCTTACTCATGTAGATTTATAGAACTTAACCCAGTGGATTGTGTTTACTTGCTGACATTTTTGATTCTCTCTAGTTTAGGACCTTATTTACCCTGTATCCTGCACCTAGCACAATGCCTATGCACTGTGCAACTGATATGCATGAATAATCAAGTATGTCCAAAGGTGGCTGCCACCTTCTCAGAATGTAAGAATGGAGCACAGAGCTTTTGAATGTGTATTGAGTAACATGAAAATGTAGACTCAAACCAACTAACAGGTATTATAGATATTTCATCATGTAAAAAACAAGGTGGGGGGTTGGCCTAGATGTTTAAGGCCTTTTGCAATTCTAAAATTCTAGGAGTCTATGTATGTATTCTATTGTCTATTTTACCTTTTAAACTAGGAAAACTACAGAGCTAACAAGGGATAGTAACTACTAGAAAATGATTCAATGGATTACATTCATCTTCAAACTAGACAGAAAGTCAAAGATAACTAAAAACCAGAACAAAATAAAAAGTTTTGGATTATCTTCAACTTGTAAGAACAATGACTAATTCTGACCCAAGTCAAACAGTGATGGAAAAATACACCCCACTGTAAAACCTCAAGAGAGAGGCCATATTTGGCATCTTAACTTTTCAGATAATGATAGTCCTCACTTCAATTACATCACATTTCAAAGCAGATTGCTTGTTAAATAGCTGCATCTCCTAAAAGCACACTGCTGTGGAAGCTGAAACATTAGCCACAAATGAAATTACTTTGTGAGGATCATAAAGTCAAACAAATTCAAAAACAGAACCTTTGATTTGAAACCCAGTTTTCTGTTCTGATCTCTTGATAACAGCCCACCCAGCTTTGTAAATTCTTAACTGTGTTCTCCTTTATTAATATTTGTTTGCAAGCAAAAATGTGGCGAAATTTGCCCATTACTTTTTAATAGAATTCTTAAAAGGCCTTTGTCATTCTACTCAAGGGCTCTACTAAAAAGCAAAAACCTGGGGCACCTGGGTGGTTCAGCTGGTTGAGAGTCCAACTCTTGGTTTTGGCTCAGGTCATGATCTCAGGGTTGTGGGATCAAGCCCCCATCAGGCTCTACACTGAGTGTGGAACCTGCTTGAGATTCTATCTCCCTCTGCCCCTCTCCTTCCTGCTCCCACACTCCCTCTCTTAAAAAAATAATTAAAAAATAAAAAAGCAATAAACTGAACAACCAGATCTGTCTGAGAAACATGTTTATCATTAATTTCATTAAATTATCTCCCAAATGAGGTAACACCATGATTAACCTCTAAAGGACAAAGTTCTCTTAGGTTTTCACCCCACTTTTCATAAAGAAAAATTTTAAAAAAGGGGCATCTGGGTGGCCCAGTAGTAAGGGTCCGACTTTGGCTCAGGTCATGATCTCACGGTTCACGGGTTCAAGCCCCACATCAGGCTCTCTGCTCTCAGCACAGAGCCTGCTTCAGATTCTGTGTCTCCCTCTCTCTCTGCCTCTCCCCCGCTCTCTCTCTCTCAAAAATAAACATTAAAATTTTTTTTTAAAAAGGGTAATTTTAAAAAGGAAGAGATAGGGATGTCAACAATCAGGAAAGGTGAACAATGGTGAATATTCTAATCATAATGAAGGGAAATGAACAGATCTCATTTTCAAAAAACCATTTATTATTTTTTTGACATTTTGTTGTAAAATTTATTTACTGATTTTGAGGGAGGGGGAGGGAGAGAAGGAGGAAGAGAGACAGAGAGAGGGGCAGAGAGAGGGAGACACAGAATCAAAGCAGGCTCCAGGCTCTGCGCTGTCAGTGCAGAGTCCAATGTGGGGCTTGAACTCACAAACTGTGAGATCATGACCTGAGCTGAAGTTGGATGCTTAACGGACTGAGCCACCCAGCTGCCCCTCAAATAACCATTTATTATTAAGCACTGAAAGTAATGGCCAAAAACCATAAAACTAAAGACTTGGAACAGAAAAAAATAGAGATTACCATGGCTATTCACTACCATCCCAAACACATTCCACTAACATCATTCAACTTCTATGGCTTATCCCAAGTTTTAGTAAAGACAGATTTTGGTTAAAAGAACAACAACAACAACAACAAAAAACCAAAAAACACCAATTCAGGGAGCTCCAAGGCAAGTTACTTAACCTGAATAAAAAACTCCTTTTCTTCATGTGAAAAAAAGAATAGTACATATGTCAGACCTATATCCTACTATGTTTTTATTTATTTTTTTAATCTTTTTTTTTTTTACATTTATTTATTTTTGAGAGACAGAGAGAGAGACAGCGTGAGCAGGGGAGGGGCAGAAAGAGAGAGGGAGACACAGAATCAGAAGCAGGCTCCAGGCTCCAAGCTGTCAGCACAGAGCTTGATGCGGGGCTCAAACCCACGAACCGTGAGATCATGACCTGAGCCAAAGTCGGACGCTTAACCGACTGAGCCACCCAGGGGCCCCTCCTACTATGTTCTATGTT